TGCATTTAATTTTTGGAGTCTCATCTATTTGGATCACCTGGATCGTTAGCCAGTTATTGGCACCCCTGAGCCTGTCTTACAGAGCCTGGCACGGCTCTGGAGAATTTTATACCCCAATCAAGTTCTACGCTGTTTACATTACAGTCAAGTTCTATATTGGTAATATTACTCATCATTTTTTGTTGTGATCACATTGGGGAGGTGTATATACTGGTATTTGTTTCTTTTTATTGTATTATGTAAATCTGGTGCACAAGGGAAGCACTAGGGTACCGGTTACACCATTTATTGTATATTTTTACCATATACAGAACTGTCACAATTTCAGTGAAGCGCCTACGCACTATCTTTGTTTCTGTTACAGGAACAATAGGTTGAAGAGGACCCTGCTCAATCGAGCTTACATTCTATAGGAGGTGCTTCATGCTATACGTATGAATCTTGCTCATAAACCCCATAAACTATCCAGGCCACTCAGGGCTGGTGCAAGGATTTATGAATACACAGGCGAAAATTTATTTTGGCGCCCCCAAAAAATGGTGTCTTTGCCTGTGTCTTTCTTTACCCCTCCCCCTTAGTGCATTTGCGATAATTGCAGAGCGTGAGCGAATTTCACCAAGAAAGGAAGGCACACTGTTGACACTGACAGTCTCCTAGGCGTTGAGCAGAGCAGCAGTAAAAGAAGACTCACTGTCAGATATTTGGGGGGGGAAGCCTGGCACCTACTGGGGTTATAGTGGCTTTTAACGTTTGAGTGTTCCTCATATGTTTATGTATTATATTAATATTTGTATATATTATAAACATATCAATATATGGTAATACATATGTTAATATACTTGTTCTTATATTTTTGAAACTTGATGTTTTAAAGACACATGGACACAAAAACACAATCACATTGACACGGACACAAACGCACACGTACCAACACACACTCATCACTGACACACACAAATGGACACACTCATTGACACACAGTGTGACACACAAACACACAACCTGACACACACTCATCATTGAGACATAGTCTGACACAAAAACACACACATCATTGACACACAGTCTAATACATAAACAAGCACACAATCATTGACAAACAATCTGACACACAAGCACAATCTGACACAAACAGACACTGACACACTCATCACTGATAAACAGTCTCACACACAAACACACACAGTCTCACACACAAACACACTGATATACACAAACATACACTCATCATTGACATATAGTCTGACACACAAACACACACTCACTGATATACATATACTGACACACTGGCATGAGCACATTTACTGTCTCACACACACACTCACTCTGACTGACTTACTGTCGTTAGGTAGCAGCTGCCATGGTACTTTGATGAATACTGCAGCTTGATACATCATTACAGCCATTCACAGTGCTAAGGCTGCTGGATATGACATCATGTATCCCAGCAGCCTTAGCTCTGTGCACTGCGAGGAGCGACAGGCTGCTGGCGCTCCTCGCTCCTCCTACATCTCGCAGCAGCAAGATTTCTAAATGCCAGCAGTAAGTGCCATCCCCAGGTCATAGAGACCCACTGGGAAATATCTCTGTATCCTTGTGGGCTCAGAATGACCAGCGGGAGGAAGGAGCTGGGTGCTCCATCTTCCTGCAGGTCACCCGAACCTTGCGCCCCCCGGCCATTGCGCCCTTAGGCGGCTGCCTGTGCCGCCTTATGGTAGCGCCGGCCCTGAGGCCACTCATTTAGAATAGGTGTGGCATCCACAACCTAAAACAGGAATATTCTTGTACATATAATTAAAACGCTAGGACACTGGAAGTCAGAAGCCTATTCTCGCTACATTCCTTAACTAGAACAAGAACCTAGACAAGCATTTCTGAATATGACAAAGTAAATAAATATAATCATATTGTTGATTATAATAGATATATGCATGGTATTCTCTATTTGTGCCCTCTTTATTTTACAGGTCTACCGGTATGTTGGTTTTGGCACATCACAATTGACTTGCATATGACCCTGTGTTACATTAAAGAGATCCTATAGTGCCATGAAAACAAAGCCTTTGTACCGGTCCCCCCCTCTCTCGCGCCCCTTCTCCAGTGGGGCTGAAGGGGCTAAAACCCTCGGCGCTAGGTCAGGCTCCGCCCATGCTCCTCCCCTGCCGACATTAGCCGGCAGGGGAGATCTAATGCGCATGCGCGGCAATGGGCGCGAGCGCATTTGACCTCCCCATAGGAAAGCATTATTCAATGCTTTCCTATAGGGAAAAATCTGACGGTGGAGGTTCTTATGCAGAGCGTGGACGTCCAGCGTCAGACAACGGACCAAAAGTCAGTTTGGAAGACAGCGACTGAGGGCAGACTTAGTTTTACATTGCAGCACTAGGGGCAAAAGGGACACCGCACTCAGACTAATTCAATGAGCTGAAGTGGTCTGGGTGCCTACAGTATCCCTTTAAGCATGTTTTAGCATACATCACCACTGTGGATTCCACGGCGGTTAGACTGAAACACTGCTCATATTATATATTTTTTGTAATTATTAAAAAATGTTTAAATGGCTTAATTGCTTACATAAATGAAAATAATATGTAGATAGTATTTTTAAGTTTTATTTAGGTGCCAGTGTCACGGTAACTCTATAACTTTTTAACGAGACATCTCACAGCAGTGAGCTTGCCTTTATTTTAAGTCAAGCCTATAAAAATGCACATTTTCATAAGTTGTGAAAATATCACTTCCGCATGTGTGGTTCCACACCCATTCCCAACACAGCCCTGTCCACGTAGCTGAGTATATCATGAAGGAAGACGTCTTGTCAATTGTGTAAACTCAATGTGAAATTAATTTAGCTGCAGCAAACCGGTACACCTAAAGCCATCAATAATAGATGGAATAATATTTAATTTATAGGACATTTTATGATTTGATTCACTTATTCGCTAGGTTTCGTGTCTGCAATGTTGTTTTAATTTTGTTACATTGATAACATACAGCAAATTTATTTTCTGTGAGGTGGATTTCATTTTATCCATTAGGTGGACTTTCGTTACCGGCTACTGATATCGATTCTAATATTTTTAGTTGATAAATAATAACCTTAATGGCTTGAATTTTGTTTTTCTTTATTATGTGGTATATAAGCATGTTTCTTCGTGCTCAGAGGTAATCTGTTTTTTAGATGTATTTATGGTTTTGTTCATGTTTCTGACACACGGACTTCAATATGACTCTGGTTGGCAACATTTACCCTAAAACCTTAGGAGCTGTTGGGCTTCTCCTCCCCCACCCTCCCCAAGCGAAACATCCCTGGTTGGAATCTGCATGGTGGCTGTCTGTGATTGTATGGTGGTTTGCTGAGTGTGATATTTATGTGTCACAATAAATGTTACTTTTAAATTTTTCGGTGCCACTTTCTCCATCATCCTATATACTTGACATCCAATATTGACATGGAATGCTGCCATACTTATGATGCCACAGAAACCTGACTCATTTTTTCAACAAGATGTTGCACGTTTTGGAGTAACAGAAATGATGCCAACCTATAGGAGGTCCTATATGCTGACCTATATAAACCTCTCCTCTTGACCTTTGCCCTTTCGTGGTTTCCGTTTTGTTCCAGCTTAGCGCGTTATTTATGTTCTGTGATTTTCTGGCATTTGACTTTGGCTTGTTTTTTCGACTGTGTATTTATGAGATCTTGACCTACTCGTATTCTTGTACTTCTATAATCCTGACCTTGGCTTGCTCTCTCATTTATGTTTAGTATTCAGTCCGGCCAATTATAAGGACTGGTCATATGCTCCTTCCTGCCTTTCAGGTATTGTATTCCTGACAATATATGTGTAATTTGATTAGTGTGATTGTGTGAGGCTGGCTGAGTGTGATAGTGTGTGCAGTTATCTGAGTGGGAGATAGGCATACAGAAAGAAGGAATGCCAGAGAGAGCTAAAGAAGGAGAGACAGAAGATGGTGAGCAAGAGACAGAAAGGAGGGTGGCAGAGGGGCACAGAGAGACAGAGACACACAGAAACAGCCAGAGAAGGATAGAGAGACAATGTGAGAGAACTAGACAAGGAAAGAAAGAGAGAGACAGCCAGAGGAGAGCCAGAGAGAGGGAGAGTCAGAGAATGAGAGCCAGGGTGAGGGAGAGCCAGAGAGAGCCATGCAGTGTAGAGAGCCAGAGAATGAGATCGAGAGAGACATAGTTGAATCGTTCTCTGTGGTAATTTAATTCTTATTTAGTATACTGTTGAACTGGCAATATACTAAATACCGGTTTTGCAAGTGTGGGCCACCACCTGGTCTGGGCCTATCTTGACAGACAGAACTTCAGGGCATGATTGCAATAGCGACTGTTGCGACTCTGGTAGTTCCATCATTCTTCAGGTAAACGATGATACTGTGTGAAATGCTTAGACCTTCTCATACCACAAGAAAGAACACTTGTATCCCCTAGTCTAGCTTCTTTGTATGATAGTAGTGGTATTCTGTTCTTCTGTCCAGCTTAGTACCAACTAACATATTTTGGTATCTTATTAGGACTACAAAGCCTAGCATGCACATCCAGTTGTTGACTAGCTATGCTCAATGACATTGCAGACCCCAGCAAACATTGGAATTCACATAAGACATACCAGGCACTTGCATTATATTTGGCCATGACTTTCCAAGTTTCCACACCCCAACATATGGGATATAAATCTAACGTTGCATCTGCTGGCATAAAAATCTGTATCTATTATGTTTAGAATAATGTTATGCCAATGCTTTCCATTCTTTTGATATGAAATCTTATCAAGTGTAGAATCCACAACTCTTTGTTATTCACATTTGTTTGACATCATTCATTGTAGGTCTATAACTACAGAGTTCTACAGGGCTGTCCTGCTTTTTATGACACGCAGAGATACGTAGTCTTAAATTGTCCAACCGTCAGTTTGCCCAAAAAACATTTTGCAGGAGAAAATAAATAAAGACAAGTGTAAGGACTAAAAATTCAATTTATTAAAGCGATGTGTTCAAATATTTGTCTGTATCAAAGTTACAGCTTGAATATTGATTTCCATAAAGCAAACATCAGCAATTTTAACATTTAGTACAATCAAAGTTAAAACAAAGTGATGAATTTGTTCTAGCCTACAGGATTTGTGACATTACAAATGAACATTGTTCTATAGAAATAAATATAAAAGTTTTTTTTTCTCTTGTTAGATATGCACAAAATCACTCAGATTAGAAAACTATTAAAGTAGCAGTTGCTCTTACATACATACATTTATTAGACATAAACATTCATTTTGATGTTCCCTCATTAGACTCCAAACATGGCATTCATCTTCGTTATAATGTTGGCAGTGTATTCACATCACAAGACGCAACCAATGTCCACAACTCATAACCAAAGTACTCTTTAAAGTACTCTTAAAAAAAAAAAAAAAGAAGAAAGATACTGTTACTCAGCATCCATTAGACTAAATTAGGAAGAATTATGAGATGTAAAAAGGAAGCAAATAAATTAGTAATCAGAGTTTTTTTTTCTTTTGTTAAAACAAAAGTTCCAGGTTTTTACATTCAATAAACATTAAGATGTTACCACCGTGTGATCAGCATGACTAAGTGAAATTGTGGGGTAAATGAAAAGCCATTTAAGTACTAGGTTTTATGTATGTGTGTACTTTACATGCGGATGTTGGCTTCCTTCTTGGATTAGAAAGAATGATAGAATTGACAATGTGTTATTTAAGTATCACGGACAGCTCTTACATCAACACTATCAGGGTTATTTACTAAACTCCAAAAGTAAGAGAAATAACTTAAAAGTAAATGTAAAAACTTAGGCAAAAATAGCTTTTTAAAAAAAGAATTGTCTACTAGGTTATAGTCACAATCTGGCTATTTCAGGCTCAATTTTAAAATTTTGATTTAATTAGCTAATATTCAAGTTTAGTAAATAATCCTGTATGTGTTTGATTGCATTAGCCGTTTTATATGTATACTACCGGTAATTGTTTTAATTTCTAATGCTCATATATTTTTATTTTTATGTAGTATGGAGTTATTTTAGCTAAAGACGGTTGTGTGCTGTGACAGAAGCTATACATTCAACGGATGATGGTTTAAGACCATTGGAGTTGCCTATTTGCCAACCCAACAAATCACCCCGGCAATATCAATCAGCAGTTTTGATTATTCTTTTCACTTTTCCCGTTCACTGACAGTACACTAACGGATGCAGGTTCTAGGTTCTAGAAGTTGATACAGCGTATATTCGAGTGTCTTGTTTTTTTGCCCTGCTCCAAATGGTTGGATTTGAACCTGTGTCCTGTGCCATATTGTTGAAAGCAGGAAAAAAAAGAACCTAATCCTCCATCTAATTGTAATTAAAATGCAAAAGAAATCTACAAGGGTAGGGGATAATGAGTGCATTGTTAATAAACAGCATGCAATCAAACAATGAGAGTGTTAATGTTGAATGAGATTGCTTTTTGCATCTTTCTACTATTGCACCTCATTACACGCGACTCATAAATATAGGTGTAGAGAAAAAAACAAGCAACATAAAATGGTTAAAATAAATACATTTTGATTTGTGCCTTTCCCCCCATTTTTCTTGTATTACAACATTTGCTTTAAGGATTCTGTTATGTATCTGAATATTTTTGTGTCACAACTTTCTCAACCTGATTTGATGACTACTGAATTTTAAGTACATTTTGTTGAAATTACTATTTAAAAAAATACCTGTGGGCAGATATCCTAAGCACCCCAACAGTTCCCGGCGATGTATAGTGAATATTTTACAGTGAATTTTCCTTCAAGTGAATATCTAAATTCAAATTGTGCTTCTTTTCCTTTTATCCATCAAGCCTAACAAAGAACTTCAAGTTTGTCAACAAGAGAGTCTTCTATTAGAGAACTTCAAGTAATGTACAAATTGTATTTTACTATAAAGATAATTATTACTCTTATAGATGTAAACATTAGATGTTATTAAGGCCAGAATTTAAAAAAGAGCTGTAAATACTTTTACATTTAAAATTTTCAAAATTTACAAAAACATTACAATAAATGATACACAGAAAACAGGAACTTAGAGTTGAATTGAGTTAATTAAGTCTTTATCAATAAATTGGCAAATTATTTATTTTAGTGGGTTTGGGGATGACTTTCCTACTCCTTGATACTTTTCAGGTTCCAAAAAATTGCCTTTAAAGGAGCACTATAGTGCCAAGAAAACAAACCAGTTTTCCTGGCACTACAAGGTTACTAGCCCCCTCGCTGCCCTCCCTCAGGGTCCCCCTCCCGCTGGCTGAAGGGGTTAAAACACGTTCAGCCATTTACCTTAATCCAGCGCCGGGCTCCCTCGGCGCTTGTGACCTCTCCTCCCCCTGCCGACGTCAGCACTTGAGTGGAGCCGAATGTGCAAGCGCGGCAAGAGCCACACGCGCATTCAAACCGCCCATAGGATAGCATTACTCAATGCTTTCCTATGGGGGTCTGAACTCACGATGCATGAGTTCAATGCGATTTCCACACTGAGAATCGCGGAAGTGCCTCTTTCTCTGGAACTGCTATGTTTTCAGCTGAAGGGTTAAAACTAGGGGGACCTGGCACCCAGACCACTTCATTGAGCTGAAGTGGTCTGGGTGCCTATAGTGGTCCTTTAAGAAAAAGAGATTTAAAGGGGCATTTCAAGCACCACATTACTTCACTCTTATGAAATGATTTAGGGGCATAGATGCTGCCCCTGCATCCTTGCAAATGAAAACATTCTACGAAACGACACTGAATACGTTGCAATGCACAACCTACTGCTGGCTACTCGAAGCTTCTGGCAGAAATGGATTCAATTATTGAATCTATTTGATGTTTGAAGTCGGCAGAAAAAGGATGCTGATGCCAGATGCTGTGTGCAACCAGTGCTTTTCTATAAGAAATCAGTGGATTCAATGCTTCTCATAGGGAAGCATGGGATTGGTATATCATGGCCTATAACAAAAGTAATCAGGATAGATGATTTTACTGGAGGACAATTAGGATGCAGTGGGGATTTTGAACCGGCTCTGGACTACAGGAAAGTTTAATGTTTTTTTAAAATATTTTTTATTACAAATAGTAATCTAAAGTACCAAAAGAACACTTCAAACAAAAAAAAAACAAATTGTATTTTTACAACTAGTATGTTCCTTTTACATACAATATTATGCGTGGTGTATTGTCTATTGCTCTTCTGATAAAGATATATCAAATTTTGGTTTGTCACTTGACAAAGCTTGATGAAGACCGTACAGGTCGAAACATTGTGATTGGCGGTGGGTTTAATAAATTGCCTTCTTTGAATCCTGGAGTGCCTGGACCTCTTTCTATTTTTCGTTCTATCAAGTAATTGGTTCTTGGCACTGGGACCGGCCTGGTTGCACCCACATTCACATCACCTTAGGGATTGAGTGCGGTTCCACAGCCCTGTTTCTTTGTTATATTTTGCCCCGTCTTAACTACAGAAATAATATGGAGATTTTGCAGAGTAAATAAATAATGTAAATAATGTTATTAATTAAATATGTATTCTGAACAAATATTTTTTTAATTTACTTACTGTACATGCTTATAACGGCTAATACTTAACAATATTTTTTTTTTTTATAGACTGAGCTTTTTAACTGTATTTCTTTTCTTAAAAAATGCAGTAAAACTCTGTATTCTTAACAACTGCATTAACAGTGGTTGTCACTTTCCTAATTTCTTTATAACAGGATAAGGCTTAGGGAAAAGAAACTACAGCAGACCAAACATCTCACTCTACTTATATGCAGCGATAATCTTTTCTCTTGTTTGGGTACATCATTATACATATATATTCATATATTTGATTATCTTAGTATAATACTCTAGCATTGGGAATAGTAAAGATATTCACAGTGCCTGCCAGAAACTATAGATATTTGCAGTGTGATTCCTCGCTCCGAAGACTTTCTTCCTTGTTTTTTTTCTACCAAATTAGATTCTTCACTGCATCTTTAATGCTTTCTAACAGCCTGTTCTTTTAGAAGAAGCATTTTAAACAACTTAAATACACAAATTGTTACATAAATCTGTCACTGGATAAGCTAAAATTTAAGGTAAAGCCATGAGTATAAATGTGTTCAGTTATTGTGGTAAAGACTAAACATTTAAAGAGATACTCTAAGCTCATTGTAGTGGTTATATGGTAAAAAGTCTAACATGACCCCAGTGCTGTTATCTATCATTGCTACCTACAGTGCAGGGCTAATGTGGAAATCCACTTCTGTATTAGCCAATGGGGTGCAGAGTTACATGGCGGAGAGCAACAGGAGAACCCTCATTTAATTGTCAAGCCACTCAAAAATGGTTCAATGCAAACAGTGAGATGGTTCCCAAAGACTCTTTGTGCCACGACCACTACAATGAGCTGCAATGACAGTGGCGCTTATGGTGACATTTTAATGATCCTGACACTTGGGTTGAACTGGGGAAGGGGTGTGGGGGGTGGGGGGGTTGAGAATTAAAGAAATAGTAATGCTTCAATCTAAGGCATCATTGTAATCAACCATATCACTACACAGTTTGCTGAAGTGGTTAGATTATCTAGAGTCTCCTGGTGTGAGAGTGCCGAGCGACCACCACATCTCAGCCACATTGCTAATCCAGAATGAACAATTTTGCATTATCAATGTAATTTAGTACAAACTGGACAACAGTGAATGGTTAAAACTGCTGGGGGATGGTTGATAACATCTATTTTAATTGTCACAGCTGAGTAAACGGCAGATTCCCAAATGTTCTAGAACTTCAACTGCCATGATGCTTTGCCAACGTTTAGAATGGAATGGAAGCTGCAGTTCTACAAGGGATCTATCGTTTGCCCAGCCTAATCTTAAAAAATATGTTATGTTATGTTATCATCATTGGATTTTCTGTTCGGTAGCCATAGTGTGAAATTTAGCTGTATTCTGATTAGTCTGTAAGTGTGCTATTTAATATAAACATGACAAGTTTACTCTAGTGATCATTCCACTATTGATTATTGTCTCATAGCAGGTGAGAATTCACTTTTACTTATGTTGAAGCTGTAGAGTGACGCAACAACATCACTGTTACCACACGTACAGCGTTATTCTTTAAAGTGAGATTTTAAAGTGAATTTAAAATTTAAGGTCAAAATAGCCAAACTGGAAAAATTCAGCTAAGTTTTAAGTTGGGCTGCTCTGGCCTTAAAGGGACACTATAGTCACCAGTACCACCACAGCTTAATGTAGTGGTTCCCGTGTAGCTAATCCCTGCAGACTGAGAACTGTAAACACTGCCTTTTCAGAGAACTTGAAGTTCACAAAAATGTGAAGTTGGAACTACAAGTTCCATGAGGCAAAGCAAATCTTCTAACATAAAAATAAGTTTGTTGATGCCTTAGCATCATAGGAATTGTTCTTCCGGGACAACTTAAGATGAATCTATAGAATATAAGATTATCCTATTCATTGAATGTTACAGCCCTAACTTTGGATTCTTGATGCAATAAAACTGGGATTTCCGATGTCTGGCAGAGATTTATAGGAAACGTAGTCCAACAACAGATTTAAGTTGAACCTGTGTTGACACTGCCCTGATAAACACTACTAAATGGTAAAGAACACAGACTGTATTTACTGCTCCAATCTCCTTATTTTACATGACAATGTAATACACAGGGGAGATGTTACACAAACAAATTGGAATTAGAAACTTATCAGAGTAAGCACTTTACTAATCAGTAATTCACTTTGTATTTCACTGTAGTCAAAGTGCTTCTCATGTTGTTGTTTTGTGCCACAAGCAACAGTGAATGTGATTTTAATGTTTCTAATTAACTTGAGATGTGATGTTTTGACATGATAGATTTATGTCTTACGCATGCCATTCGAGCTAAGATACAGTACATTAACCAAAGATATTGAGCAAGATTTCAAAAACGAAAAAAAACAAAAAAACAGGATAATTACAGCTGTTTGTATTGTATCAAAATAACAACACACACTATTTCTCCCACACAACACTCGTACTGTAGACTTGTGCAATTTGTTTGTCTGTTTCTTGAGTACAGATACAAAACAAGCACTAATAATTGAGAGGATCAACACCTATGGAATTGCTTATTGATGGTTAATAAGACTGGGTGATCAAACATTAAAACCGTTATTCAAAGTGATTTGAAATATAATGCCAAAATAACCAAACGGAAAGCACAGCTCAGAAATGTTTCCAGTTTGGCAATTTTAAACTTAAATTTGAATTTTCACTTCAGTAAATAACTCAATAAATAGTAAACTTCAGAACTGTAATAGTTAATGTTTTTTTACTTCCTGAATATATCATTAGCGTTTTTCGGACCATTATATTTTTGGAATTTAACGGCACACATGATATTCGTTGGGATAACTATTAACTGTTGAAAACGTAAGCTTATAACAGGGATGCTCACGGCTAATGACAGCTAACCTTGACACCGTAGAAGTTTATGTACACCAAAGGGTGTATGAGCATTATGGGAAATGTAGTTGCCAAACATATACGGTTGCAAGATTAGGTATCCTAGTCTATGTATTTGTCAGCCTGTTATAACCTTTACTTCCACCTGGTGCTGGAAAAGCTGTATAATTATAAACTAATAATGAGGACAATAATATGGACTTAATTCTATTACCTGAGAAACATGACATCCATTAATATGTGTCAAATTATTAAAAGAAAAATCTGAAATTTGGATTAAAAAAAGAAATAAAAGGATTTAGAGTCTTTCATGAACCTAGGTCCAAAATAGACTCTAGGTGAGTTGGATGGATCTGGGGATTAACATCAATATCTTCTCATGTCACAAATAGAGGAATATTAACCAAGTGGACCATTTTGTTTTAAAGAATGAGCAAGATATCTCCAGTATACCCTGTAATCCATGCTGTACAAGTTACCAGGAACAGAGACCTTTCATTACACTCAACAAAGTCTCCCATCTTCGTGTGAAAGGAAGAATCTTGCCAATGATACATTGAAAGGCCACAAGGCTACTTAGACCTGTCTCGGACACAATGAGAAAAAAAGATAATTTTGCTGAATGTTCCTATAGAGCATCTTCCAGAGCGAGAAGAAAAACACGCATTGCAGCAATTTAAGTTTATCTTCGAGACTCTATTTGCATATGTAATCATGGGTCGAAGGGTATCTACTCCACAATATAGTATGATATGTTTTATTAAAATGTTGCAATAGTGAGGAACAACTCATTAATTTAATTTCCATGGTGCCACAGCTTTAATACATAACCCTCAGTGTCTGTAACTTAGCAATGTAACTAGATTTGCACTTGTTGTTAATCATTCTGGCACTGGAAGGAAGTGCTGAATACATTCATATGTGACATTGTTCAGTAACATCTCACAGAGCAGGGTTTAACAATGGCTGAAATCCAGCACGGGATTTGGGGCTTTGTGGGCTTGGAGTTTGATATGGTGATGACCTAATGACAGAAGTCACATTTACAATTCCATGTCACAGTAGCTTTTACGGACTGTGTGACATACGCCTGGCCTGTGGATTCTCACTCCTGTGTGGCTGCAATGTTACAGATCTGGCTTTAAAGGACCACTCTAGGCACCCAGACCACTTCAGCTTAATGAAGTGGTCTGGGTGCCAGGTCCCTCTAGGATTAACCCTTTTTTAAATAAACATAGCAGTTTCAGAGAAACTGCTATGTTTATAATAGGGTTAATCCAGCCTCTAAAGCCTCTAGTGGCTGTCTCATTGACAGCCGCTAGAGGCGTTTGCGTGCTTCTCACTGTGAAAATCACAGTGAGAAGACGCCAGCGTCCATAGGAAAGCATTGTAAATGCTTTCCTATGAGACCGGCTGAATGTGCGCGCAGCTCCTGCCGCGCATGCACATTCAGCTGAAGAGGAGGATCGGAGGCGGAGAGCTCCCCGCCCGGCGCTGGAAAAAAGTTTAACCCCTTCCTCTCCATCCAGCCCGGCGGGAGGGGGTCCCTGAGAGGGGGGCGGGGGAACCCTCAGGGCACTATAGTGCCAGGAAAACGAGTATGTTTTCCTGGCACTATAGTGGTCCTTTAAGGCTGCGGACATTCCAGGGAAGCTACCCATCATACACAGTACATCCCAAAGAATACTTGTAATTACCAATATAAAATATAGCTCTGATACTTTATGAGTGAAATATTGCTGTGATGACAGCAATCTATTTCATTATGAAAAAACTAAATACAACAAAACACATGTAGCTTCATGTGGTCTATTTGCCTGGGCCTGGAGCAGTTGCTATATTAACCCAGGCTGCCTACGACAATCATATTGTAACAGTTCAAGTTCCTTTGTCATGCATCCATCCATCCAATGACAATGTAACTGAAAACTTCTGGAACATAAGTCAATGAAAGGTCTATTGTTCTATGCAAATAAAACCTGTGGACGTGGATGCCTTCCCCTCGTTTGGGAAAACGGATGTTATTTTATTTTCCCTCTGGTAGATTATAAAAAAAAAAATGCAATTATTTAGCAACGAGAAAACAACTCCACTCAGGTCATTTTTTGCAGGAAAACAATATCTTTTTTCATTTCGTTAAAAAATAAAAACAATATCTTTTTTCATTTTGTTTTAAAGGCAAACTCATAGAGTGGAAAAAGTTTTAAAGTCTGAGTGTTCTGCAATCAACTGGTCTATCACCAGATATGTGTCAACTTCTCTAATGCACCAAAGTGAACCATTGCTGGTTACTGAAATAGATCAGGAAATGTTTGAGGTCTTGGGGACCAATAGACATCCCTGGAATCTTCAGAGCAATCCACCTCGGAACTACTCACATTCACTATTGGTACGGAAAAGAGTCTGACTGGGAGGGGCATAGTCAAAGGCATGCATTGTGGGTTATTTATAGTTATATATTATTATTCTACCTTATTGATGATTAGTACTTTCCTTCCAGATACAGCAATGACTGGTTAAACCCCTGGGCCTCAGCGTCAAATCTGATGAGTTTAGCTCAGGTTCACTATTTGTCTGCGAAGAAATTGTTATTCTTCCTGGATCTATAAAACATGGGAATACTAGCTAGCTGCAGATTGCAATGTATGCTAGTATGGGTATGCTGCAAGTAGGTATATTTTATGAAGTTTTGAGATCAATTATGAGATTCAATTTAATATCCAGTAAAATGCATGCTTACCGTATTGTGACTGTGATGCACAATAATTAGTGTCATTGGAATTATCTGGAAGACTGGGATTTGCTAAAAAAAACCTCAGTAAGCCTAAGTTTATATGCATGGCCCTCCACTCTGACAACCTGGTTGTAACTCTTTACATGCTAATGGGAGGAGAGACTGTTTTTAAAAGACCAGTTTGGGCACCATAACAACCTTATTGAAACAAAGTTGTTATGGAGCCAAGAGGTCCCTGGCGCTGGCTCACGTTAAGGGGTTAAACTTATCTTGAAAAGTCTGTATTTCAGTGTCCAATCTCCCTACCTCTCTATTCTTACATTTTCTCAAAATAAGGAGACCAGCTCATTGGCTGTGAGCGGTCAGCTGACATTCTCAGTCCGTCAGTGACTCCCCATTCATAAAACTGGTTTAAAAAATGTACGTTTCTTTTCAAACCAGTTTCAGGAATGGGGAGTCACTGACTGGCTGAGAACGTCAGCTGACCAGATTCTGCAAGAGCATACCAGTTTCCCGATTTTGAGAAAACAGAAAGCCAGAGATTCAGTTCTAGAACACAGACTTTGGGATTAAACCGTTCGAGAAAAAACATTCTCTATTCAGCATTGCTTTCTGTTTAGCTATTGTGGCCTTTAATTTGAAATTCACTTTGTATTCTCACTTCAGTAAGTAACAGTGACAGTTATGAGCATCTCACAGACGCAGGTTGAGATAGGATGTTCATTGGCCTGCAGTGTCCTCACCTTAGCAAATAACTCTGTTAGTATCCAGCTCCTGTACATTATGGTCACAGTGTTCTTTGAAACTGACAGAGATCTGGGAAACCCTACCTTGAAAGACTCCTTGTGACAGATTGCAATGTCTATACAGTAGAATATGCGATATTGAACAGATTGCCGTCGATGGGACTTATTCACTAAACACTCAATTGTAGCAAACTGAAAACCAAATTGCAAAATGTAACTAAACTATATCCAAACTGGGATTGTAGCTTACATTTTGCAATTCAGTTTACAATGCAATTGGTTTAGTGAATAAACCCCCGTCTTTTTTTAAATTCTTTATTTTTCACTAGATAGGCATGGCAAATGTAAATAGATTGTTGGGCTTGCGCAGAAGCCAATACATGAAAAAGAAAGTAGAACATTCTTAGAGACACGGTATACAACCGAATCTTCCAGTACAAGTCCATTCCTTAACCCAGTGGGGCGTGCTCCTACCGAGGGTTTTTCACTTTTGGATTCAAAACCCCCGTCTTTTAAAGACATTTGGTCTGCCATTATGAGCTGGCAATATACAGGTTATACTCGAAAAATTTGAATATCGCGCAAAAGTTAATTTTTTTCACTAATGCAACGTAGAAGGGGAAACTAATATATGAGATAGACGCATTACATGCAAAGCAAGATAGTTCAAGCCGTGATTTGTCATAAGTGCGATGATTATGGCTTACAGCTCATAAAAAACCCAAATCCACAATCTCAGTAAATTAGAATATTACATGCAATCAATAAAACAAGTAGTGTACATAGAACAATATTGGATCTCTGAAAAGTATAAGCATGCATATGGACTCAGTACTTGGTTTGGGCCCCTTTTGCAGCAATTACTGCCTCAATGCGGTGTGGCATGGAAGCTATCAGCCTGTGGCACTGCTGAGGTGTTATGGAAGACCAGGATGCTTCAATAGCGGCCTTCAGCTCTTCTGCATTGTTCGGTCTGATGTCTCTCATCTTTCTCTTGGCAATGCCCAATTAATTAATGTGGTTCAGGTCAGGCGAATTTGCTGGCCAATCAAGCACAGTAATCCCACGATCATTGAACCGGGCTTTGGTGCTTTTGGCAGTGTGGTCCTGCTGGAAAATGAAGTCAGCATCCCCAAAAAGCTCGTTTGAGGACGGAAGCATGAAGTGCTCCGAAATCTCTTGGTAGACGGCTGCGTTGACCCTGGACTTAATGAAGCACAGTGGACCAACACCAGCAGATGACATGGCTCCCCAAATCAACACAGACTGTGGAAACTTCACACTGGACTTCAAGCATCTTGCAGAGTGTGCCTCTCCATTCTTCCTCCAGACTCTGGGTCTTTGGTTTCCAAATGAGATGCAAAAGTTCCTCTCTTCAGAAAAGAGGACTTTGGACCACTGAGCAACAGACCAGGTCTGTTTTTCTTTAGCCCAGGTAAGACGCTTCTGACATTGTTTGTTGTTCAGGAGCGGCCTGACAAGAGGAATACGACATCAGAAGCTCATGTCCAGGATCCGTCTGTGTGTGGTGGCTCTTGATGCACTGACTCCAGCCTCAGTCCACTCCTTGTGAAAGTCGCCAACACTTTTGAATGGCCTTTTTCTGACAATCCTCACCAGGCTGCGGTCATCCCTGCTGCTTGTGCACCTTTTTCTTCCACACAACTTTCTATTCATGTGCTTTTTGATACAGCACTTTGGGAACATCCAACTTCCTTCGCAATTACCTTTTGAGGCTTTCCCTCCTTATGGAGGGTGTCAATGATGGTTTTCTGCACAACTGTCAGGTCAGCAGTCTTTCCCATGATTGTGATTCCTACTGAACCAGACTGAGAGACCATTTAAAGGCTCAGAAACCCTTTGCAGGTGTTATGGCTTACTTAGCTGATTAGAGTGGGACACTGTGAGCCTGGAATATTGCACCTTTTCACAATATTCTAATTTACTGAGATTGTGGATTTGGGGTTTTCATGAGCTGTAAGCCATAATCATCGCACTTATGAAAAATAATGGCTTGAACTATCTTGCTTTGCATGTAATGCGTCTATCTCATATATTAGTTTCTCCTTTTACGTTGCATTACTGAAATAAATGAACTTTTGCGCGATATTCTAATTTTTCAAGTATCACCTGTATCTGATCTGAAATACTAAGTGTAGGCCAACAGTGGAAAGCAGGGAATAATTCTAGCTATTCGCGATTGGATGGAAACTCACAAAAAATAGCTGTTTAGTAAGTAAACAGAATATCCTGTAGTTACACCCTGTTAAAGGGACACTGTAGTCAGAAGAACCATTACAGCCTAATGTAGTGGTTCTGGTGTCTATAGCCTGTCCCTGCAGGCTGAGAACTGTAAACATTGTATTTTCAGAGAATTACATTGCTGGCTAGTAACAAGTGGCAGTGACTCTGAGAGCTACTAGAGGTGCTTCCTAGTGTTCGGTGTATCCATGTTCTGCATTGATTTAATGCATCTCTATAAGGAGATGCTGATTGGCCCGGTGTAGTGTTTTGCTGTGCATGCGCAATTGCCTCCCAATGCTTCCCTATGGGAAAACATTGAACCGGCTGAGTTAATCAAGATTGATAACCTAAGCCGTGGAGGTGGAGCCAGCTGCAGTGAGACTGTCACGGCATGTGAAAAAAGGTGAGTTTGAACAACCTTTTACTGCACAGAGAGGGGGCTGGTAACCTAAATGGCCGCTTCAGTACTATAGTGTCAGGAATGCATGTTTGTATTCCTGACACTCTAGTGTTCCTTTTATTATTATTATATAACGCCAACAAATTCTATTGCGTTTTACCTACTAGAAGCAGTCAGAAGTTGGACGAAGTGGCTTTTGGGTGTGATGGGTGGTGTTGGCTTTGCCAGCCATTGCTGTTTGTCTAAGGATGTTAGCTTAGATGGCAAAGTAATAAAGAAAACATCTGTCTGAAGCTGCTGTCAGACTGGCAGAACATCTACTCCAACCCCTTGCCAGGCAGAGCAATCTAGTCCACGCCTGCTGGAACGAGACTGGCTGCCTATAACTTGTGAAGACCTTTCTTGACCTTGCCTGGAGCGTTAAATTGCTACTGGCTCTGTTTGTTTGATGGCTTTCTGAATGCATGGGGAATTTTAATGCTTTAAAAATATTCCTATGCTTTGTTTTCACTATCAAACGAGTAGCACATACGTCAATTATATAACATATATTTCTGTTTATACAACTCATTTTATTTTCATCCAGCACAGAACACCGAATTGTTGTTGGTAAAGTTATTTTTTTTAATTTTGTAATTTTTTTTATTCTTTCTACTATACCAGGGTAGCCAATTTTCTGCAGGGTTTTCAAAGGTTGTCTACCCCTGTACTATACAAAAATTCACCCAAACCATAGCCTAATTATTCAGATATTGGGACCTCTTTCAATATTAATCATAAGTATGGTTACTTTTTTGACTAAATTCATTTGAAAGTGTAGCTGGGTGGGCAGTGTATATGTGCACAAAAGATAGAAAAAGAAACTACAGTATCGAAATATTTTTAGATCACTTCCCATAACACATTTGCTCACAGTTTTCCCATTTGCCAGAACCCACACCTGCTATTCCTTCTTGAATCAATGTCTACACAGTATGAATCAATGTCTACATTGGCAAAGGGGTACCTGATTCCTGAAACTTTTTTTTTGTCTGTTGTTAAAGGGACACTATAGTCACCAGAACAACTATAGCTTAATGTAGTTGTGCTGGTGAGTTTAATCATTGCCTTCAGGCATTTTCATGCCAACATGCCAGAGAAAAGGCAGTGTTTACATTGCCCCTAGGGACACCTCCAAGTGGTCACTCCTTAGATGGCTACTGGAGGTGCTACCTGGCTTGGCGGTGCACAGTAGGCAGCCCTTTCGTTTAGCGTCTCCACGCTCTGCATGGGGACGCTGAATTTTCCTCATAGAGATGCATTGAATCAATGGACCAAGGAGGTGCTGATTGGCCAAAATGGTGTTTGGCCCCGCCCCCTTGTCGATTTTAGCCAATCCAATGTTTTCCCCATGGGAAAGCATTGGATTGGCTAAAAATCAGCAATTCTGATGATGTCACCAAGGGGGCAGAGCTGGAGGGTGAGTTTTAATTGCTTTTAAGGGGTGTAAGGGGGGCCAAGCCACCTAAATGGTGGGTTTAGCACTATAGGGTCAGAAATACATGTTTGTGTTCCTGACCCTATAGTGGTCCTTTAGGCTCTCCTGGGTTGCACTAGTGGACTCCATGGAGTCATATTTGTGTCATTGCCTATCTGTCTGGTTTATAAAATACAAAAAGGTTATGGTGATTGTGTGATTAGAAACCCCTTCCACCTGAAGTCTGTGGATAGTTACTACAATGTTAAAGGACCACTCTAGGCACCCAGACCACTTCAGCTTAATGAAGTGGTCTGGGTGCCAGGTCCTTCTAGGGTTAACCCATTTTTTTATAAACATAGCAGTTTCAGAGAAACTGCTATGTTTATGAATGGGTTAAGCCTTCCCCCTAATCCTCTAGTGGCTGTCTCATTGACAGCCACTAGAGGCGCTTGCGTGCTTCTCACTGTGATTTTCACAGTGAGAGCACGCCAGCGTCCATAGGAAAGCATTGTAAATGCTTTCCTATACCGGCTGAATGCGCATTCCGCTGAATTACATTCCCCGCCCAGCGCTGGAAAAAGGTAAGTTTTTACCCCTTTCCCCCTTCCAGAGCCGGGCGGGAGGGGGACCCTGAGGGTGGGGGCACCCTCAGGGCACTATAGTGCCAGGAAAACGAGTATGTTTTCCTGGCACTATAGTGGTCCTTTAAACAAAAATTTGCACACCAGTCAAGCCATAAGACTTGCTTTTCCCACAGGAATCACATATTTGCAGTGATGTTACTACCGCAAAGGATTCTGTATGTCTGGTTTATGTTAGATTGAAGCAACTGTCAAAACCGCCAATAAAAAGCATCAACATTTTAACGCTTTGATTCCAGGACAATCATAATTACCATTTAGATAATTAATATTACTTTGACAAAATTTTGCCACATTGTATTAAAAACAAAATATTATTTAAAAAAAATATATATATATCTTGCAAATGAATGTATAATCACATTCTTTATGTTTCATGTCATATTTCATTTTTGTATGTCCTGTGATCCCTTATGTATATAATTGATTGTGGATGGAGAATGTTTTCCCTCATTTTTCTCTTTTGTAAAAACTATTTGAAAAGAAATTAATACATCTTCAGAATGTAACATTAATAAACGTATATTCTACACATGTCTGTTAAGATCAGTGAGTGTCAACTGTAGGAAATTTCAAGTGAATTACATTTAAAAAAATGACAAATTATAACAAAGATGCACACTAAAAATCTGTGCGAGTTTTTCAAAATCTCTGCACCTTTAACAGCCCAGTACACTAACACCTAGGAGGGATCAATCTGTGAGACTGTTTTATAGAATAGAAAGAGAGGACCACGGCCTTTTTTTATAATATGCGAATATTGGGTTTTTTTTTCGTTCCCTCTCTGTAAAACCCCCCCAAAAACTACTGATTTATTTTAACATTTTCCAGCATGTTCTTAGCTCTCCAGTGCAGAAAGGTTAATCACTAAATCTTGTTTATAAGCTGGTTAATATCAAAATTGTGACTATGTGCCTTTCAATAGTATGAGAGTGTTTTTAATTTTTTTTTTTTTATCGTCTCTACATCTCACAGCAATTATTTTTTTTATTGTTGTTCTTTTTCATCAATTTGTTCAGAACTCTCAGGTGCGGAAGGGGTTAATTGGTGAGACTGGCATAGTAAAAACAGTTTAATAGCTAAAAAAACAAGACAAGAAAGCACCCAAGGAAGTGTTTGGAATTCTATAACCTGCCGTTCTCTGGTTTTGATGTGCCTCACGTACCATTTCCCAGTTATGCTCAGACGCACACAGCGACATGAAACAGCTCCTCTGGTGTACACCGAGCCATACACCGCATGTCAAACCCATTACCTGCAAGGACCGATCTTTTGCAGGTGGCTAAATTAGATCTAGTCCTTTGAAAGAGCAGATGATTTCTCTGGAGTCACAAGAGACCTTTGCATTGCAATTACGATTCCAGCAGCGTGTGCCATCTACATATCTGTTGTCCCTTGGACTCCTTCATTTCAGTCCAATGATTAAGCTCTTTATCGCCTGAGCTGTTGAGACCGAGAGATATCCAGCCTATCATTTCTTTGCGTTTCATGCTGCGTTTGTTATAGACAGACAATATGAGAGTCACATCAGAGAGCTGGAACAGTGCGACTTGAAAAATGAACGTTTCCTTGTACAAGGGATTGGGCTGACCCCGGCGGATGGACGTTTTACATTTTGACATTTCCTGCCCCATGGAATTCAGCAAAGTTAACTTGACATAGGTATCTACAAAATAAATAACAAAATTCAGTATAAGATTGAAAATGAGAACTGTATAATGCACATTAGTCAATGCCTTAGTATAGAACAGGGGTGGACAAAAGGCACGTCCCCAGCTGTAGCTTTTAAGTCGGAAAGGCTGGTTATCTACCTTTTGGCCATTCCTGATATAGAAGAGTATGGAGTATACCAAGATTTTTGCTGAATCAGTCATGGTATATTCAGATCTGATATAGTATATTCAGATTTAGATATGAAAAGAACTATTTTAGAACGTTCACAGTGATGCTTATTTAGTGTGATTAAAAATAAAGTTTATTTTGGTAGATTTGCATAGAAGGTATACCACATAATCCTTTTTTATTTTCTAAATTGTTTGCACTAAGCCAAATAACAGAGCATTACTAACACTGAGCAAGCTTTGTCTAGCCACAACACTTGAAGCATACCACTGAGTTTAGAGAGAAAAAAAAAAGAAAGAACATAAACGGGAGAAGGGAATGAGAACAAATGATGGAGGGGGAAGGATATGGTTGAGAACACAATAGGAATAAAATGCTATGGTGACATCAAAACAGCGGAGAATGTAATACCAAATATGGAAACTAGAAAGGCAATCTCTGCACGGACGTGGTTTTTACACACTGACATCCTTTTAACTCTGTCGATGCAGAATCAAACGAGTTTCCTGGCCAGTGATGGACACCCAAGATATTTGTGAACTACATTACCCATCAGCCAGCCTTTAGGATTGCAGTGCATCACGGGAAATGTTGTTTATAACATGTCAGGGGGCCATGATTTTTTTTTCATTATTTTAGGCTATTCTGTCCCATATGTTTAACCCCAGAAAAGGAAGCAAAGCATCACTTAGCAATATGACAGAATAAATTAGTAGCTGAAAGCTATCAACCCATTGTTTCATTAACCAGAACTCACATATAACTCCTGTGGCACCTACTGAGTTCAAAGTCAAACATAAGTCTTTCCTGTGTTAAATTCTTCCTGGATTTTTTTTTTAAAAGTAATTTTGTTTAATAACAACAGTGTTCTGAAAAGGTGCAGACAGGACCTAGGGCCAACGGCCACAGATCCGTCCTGAGATTTTACCAGAATGTGTATCCCAAAAGTGTTGACGCATCATACACTTCTGTGAACGACTATTCCAGGGCATTTCTGTCCATGTTAGAATACTCCTGCAGTTATGTAAAATTGCGCGGTCCTGGTTGGCTTCTGTTTGCCAAATTGGCATCACAAGTGCCCGATTACATATATCATCAGTGGTAGACACTATGAAACTGGAATGTTTAGAGAATATTAACCTCATTTTTTAATAGTACTCTGCTAGAATGAAATTGTGTAGCAGCACATGTTGTGCCTGTGTAACAGATGACTTACATGTTGACATGGTAACAAGGTTTCTAAAACCGTGGCGTGTTTACCTTCTAAGGCAGCCTGCTGGAGCAAATCACGGCTTTTACATTAAGGATGAATATTCTAGCCATGCAGAGACCTAGATAAACCCTCTAAGCTACACAAAAGAAGGTGGGCATAAAGAAACACTCCAAGCACTTTAACCACTAGAGCTTTGTTTAGAAGGTATGGTGCTAGGAGTGCCCTGGTTCCCCTCCATTGTAAGTAGTCAAACCACTTTAGAATTGTTTAACTTACCTGGGATCTGCTGAGTGTCGCTCCTCACTTCCACTACTAATGCCAGAGGGCCAGGAATTCCCAAGCAGTGCAGGACTGTGCTCATTGGCTGAAAGCGTCAGCTCTTTACTCAAACACAGTTTGACTACTTATAATAAGAGCGCCAGTGTACTCCTGGCACCAAAGCACTACCACATAACCAAGAGTTGTAGTAGTTATGATGCTTGGAGTGTTCATTTAAAGTGACACTACAGGCATCAAAACAACTTTAGTTTAATGAAGCAGTTTTGGTGTATAGATCATGCCACTGGAGTCTCACTGCTCAATTCTCTGCCATTTAGAAGTTAAATTACTTTTGTTTCTGTCCATGCAGCCCTAGCCACACCTCTCCTGTATGTGACTCACACAGCCTGCAAAAAAACAAATTGTTTCATTATGAATCAATGTTAACTTGCTTTCAAATTTAACTTTAACCACTAGAAGGCTTTTAACAGAGCAGGAGATACGAAAGTCTAAATTAAATTGAATGTGCAATAAAGGAAGTTTAAATTTTAGATCTCTCTATACAGGAAGTGTTTAGGAAAGCTGTTTAAGTCAATGCAGGGAGATGTTACTAAGGCTGTATAAACAAAATAATTTTTCTTCTAAATGGCAGAGAAATGAGCAGTGAAACTGCAGGGGGATAATCTATACACCAATACTATTCCATTATGCTAAAGTTGTTTTGGAGTCTATCATGTCCCTTTAACATCTGGAATTAACTCCTTTAAGTAGACCTTTCTGTCCAGCCATGGGCATGCTCCATAAGGGCTTGTTTCCAATGTAGTCAGTAAGTTTTACTGACAAGCCAAATAGCAACTCATATTTCCCATCTTTCATTTTTAACCTCTGCCACAAAGAATAATAGAAGAAAAAGAGCACATCTCCTGGCCACATTGGACATAACAGGCTTTAACTCCCTTACATTAGAGGGTAAATCCCTTAGGGCCAAGATGCTGTGAATCTCCTTGCCTCTTTGGCATTAAAAAGGTTAACC